CCCCCCCCCCAGGCTGCAAGGCAACAGCTAATCCATTTGGCTCCCACCCCAAATAAATTGCCCATCTACGAATAAAACTTCAAACAGTTTCCTGCTATTCCCAGGGCTGATCCAACTGGCAGGACCCAAATGCCAACCCTGGACAAAGTGGCTGCTCTGCTGAGCAGGGCTGTGATCCCTGCAAACAAGCTCAGGAGCACAGTGAGCAAGTCCTGCAAGGTTTTATCCAGTTTCATTTTGAGACAGAAGCAGCAGGTTTTGCAAAGGAGCCCTGCTCTGGAAAGCTTTGGAATGTGTCCCAGTGCTGGCTCCCAGTGCCAGTGTTCTCCTCCTGCCCTTCCCTTGGCAAGGGCTTGGCTCAGGAAAGCAGTGCCAAGGTTTTCCAGCCCTGATCCAGGTGATGGTTGTTAAAATAACCACCAGCAGGACTCCCTGGTCCCATTAATCCCAGCTCCACACATCCCATGAGCTCTGGAACGTGAGGTTCCTTCCAGAGATGGTGGGATATACATCCAGTCTTAACCACTGCCCAGGGAAACACACCTGGATTCCTCACTTACCTGTGGATCCAACCTGGGAACACCAGCCTGAGGCTGAGGTTGGTGCCTCTGCTGTGGGACCTGCGTGGAGAGGACTGAGCTCCCTTCTCCACCCCTCTCAGCTTCAGGAACAACTATTCCCTGACAACACATCCCAGTGCCATGGGGCACAGATTCCAGCCCTCTCTGCCTTGCAAACCTTGGGAAGAGCTGAGGAGGGCACACACAGCCACTGTACAAAACCTTTATTGAGAACAGCTCTGCTCACACAGCAGCTCAGCACTCCTTTCACCTCCTGGCAGAAGTGCAGCTCAGTTCCCACCCCCCTGCCTTTCTCCACTTGCCCTCAAACAGATTGTTCTGTCACTTCCAAGCACAAAACACGACAGGGAAAGCAACTGAGGCAAAAAAAAAAAAATCCATCCTCTCCCCCAGGAGCACAGGGCCTGTTTCATCCCACTTCATCCCACCAGCTTGGCAGGAGTTGGGGCTGGCCAACCATTCCAGCCTGGATGGGAACTGGGGAAAGCTGCTGGGCTGCTCCAGCAACACCATTTCCCTCACTCAGAAAGAAAAGGCACCAAAAGAAAATAAAACAGGGAATGTTGCCCTTTTGCTACTTGGAAAATCCAGGTTGGGTATCAGTGGGAAAAGTCTTGCTGGCGCAAGGGGGAGGGGAGTGAGAAGATGCACTGGGTGGTCCTGATGGCAAACGTGCAGAAATTCCACTGTGGGTAATCCCAGCCTTGGTTTACTCCAGATCCCTTGGCATCCAGGTGTCTTTCCCCACTGTCCTTTGTAAAAGCCCATCCCCAGCAGAGCTGCTCCTGCCCCCTGCAGAGCTCTGCACCCACCGGGGCCTCACCTGGCAGCTCCTAGGGACCCCCAGCTGCTTCCAGGGACCCCCAGCTGCTCCAGGGACCCCTGACCGCTCCCAAGGACCCCCAGCTGCTTCCAGGGACCCCCGGCTGCTCCCAGGGACCCCCAGGGACCCCCGGCTGCTCCCAAGGACCCCCAGCTGCTCCCAGG